GTCTTCCGTATCAGTAAAAGTGGGCGACGGATTCGATCAGATAAGGCACGTGATCGTATATTCCGGATAATCGCAATTTGATGCATGCTGCAATGAGGGGAAACGAAGATGTGAGAGATACGGTCGGAGAAGGTGCGATATCAATGAGAGGAAAGGCTTTCTTCACTAACATGACTTCGGGCCCGGGTAATCTCCTGTGGTCAACTGAGTCGTGTACGGCGGGTTACGGAAAACTATTTTTCGCAGGAATAACGATCCCGCTTGTACCTACCGCTTATTTTTTACGAAAAACTGAGCAAATTTCTGGATACTGGTACCATTCCGGGTACTGGTGCTGTTACCTTACTGGTTACTTCTGTATAACGTATTCACAACTTGCTGTTCTTACTCTGTTTGGTTTTTTTTTGTTACAGCATTCGTGCGGTGGTCAATTATTGAGCTCCTTTGGCTCGTCCTGAATTCCAGTACAAAATATCTGTCTTATGCATGATGCTTGTATTTTAATTTTTAAGTTTTAGTCAAATCATTGTACCTTATTTTGATTTTGTACTTTTATTGATTCAATATATTTTTCTTTTACCTCTCAATCACTTTTGCTTTTTCCCCATGAAATTACACTGTCTGATTCGACAGTTGTGCTTACTTTAAATAGGATGGTGCATCACTTAAATGATACCGATTATGCTCATCTATAGAAAAATGACTTGCATTAGTTTCATGTGAAAGAAACAAATTTTTCAGTGCATTTGATGTGAGAATTTGAGCTCCCTTGGATCACTATGAATCCTTTAAGCACTGAGAAAGTGAGTAAGTCAGTTAAGGACAAGTGGATTGCATTTTGCAAAAAGGAACCACTAGCATAGCAATGATGCTAAGATTGTGCAACTTCATCTTTTGCATTACAATTGCGGAAATTGTGAAAAACTATGAAATTTAGATGGTAATTTTTGTCTTAAATTTACAGTTTTTAGTGAGTAAAATAGAAACTATTAATGGATAATCGGGTTTTTCCTCCAAGACAAAAGAAGTTGCACAATCTTAGCGACATCGCAATGCTAGTGGTTCCTTTTTGCAAAATGCAATCCAAGTAAGAACTTGCAAGTTAAATAAGGTAATATGGTAAAGCTTTTGAGGGAGAAAAAATTTAGCATTTGGTGTTTAAAAAAAAAGAAAATTTATTATAAAATATTAAAACAAGGAAATTTTACTTATGAACAGCATGACTAACAACTTGCCAAACCCTAATTACATTGTCTGAATAACCAGCGTATAAAGTTTGACCGTCAGTAGACCATGCTAACGATAAGCACTGTGGAGGTTCAGCCTTGGTTGGTGTTGATGAAACAGGCTCGGGTTTCATTTCGTCAATTGATACCTTAGATTCAAGATCCTGAAACATAAAAAGAAATGATTGTAAAAATGAAGTTAAATGCTGATAGACTCAATTTACGAAATGAAATTGAGGTGCAACAGTGTAATAATTTCATTTCTTTAAAAAGAAAAAAAAAGTTCAAGAGTTGTCAGTGCCTATAAACTGAAAATTAAAAACAATTTTATCACCAGAAAAGATTTTTGCTGTTTTCATGAAGAGCTCCTAAACTAAACAGGGCGCTTTCCTATCAAGAAAATGGTACCTACTTTTTGTTTGGTGCAGATAAATCATTGCTACAGAAAAAAAGTACTCGCATTCAGATCTTCACAAAATTGAGTTCGTATTAGTTAATTTCCGAGATAGGCGGCAAAAATATCCAAATTTTTCTGATGGTGGACAATTCAATATGAAACGACTCTGTGTAGAAAACCAGAAGGTCTTCCGCTGGCTAAATTTCATTATAAATTGTTTTGATGTTTTTAACCACTTCTCGAGAAGGATGAGGTTTATAAATCACGGGTGATTATGTGAATTTGTACTGAGAAGGGTCCTTCTCAGTACAAATTCCAGGAAAAGTGAAGCTGTTGAGAGAATTTTTTCACACTGTACAGAAAGATAAGAAAAATACCTAGCAGCCTAGCATTTCCTGCATCAACTGTTTTAGGACAAAAGGCTTCCCCTATTTGACACAATGGCACAGCCACATCTCTAAAAGAAATCACAAATAGAAATGCGAAAAAATTCTGTTATCAGCCCTGCTTCCTTCAAAACTAGCGCTTCGAAAATATGAATTTAAACACGCATTGTGCACAGGAGATTGTAAAGAACATTCAATATACATATTGAATAATGACAAATTTAGTACATAGCTGTTAAATCCCTTGCTTTTCATTACAAGCAGTGTTCCAACTTCATTAGGGGCCAAATTGAATTTTTGCCTATATGTCACGGCGCATTTAGTGAAAAGTTATACGCAAGATATACAGTTACAGGACTTGCAAGTTGCAGCTCGCAGCCATTACTTGGGAAAGGGAAAGGCCAAAGGAATGATATTCCGATTTAAAACAAGGAGCTTTTAGTTTACTTAAAGTTTGTTCAATTAAATAATACTTTTTCTGACTTCCTATTATGAAAAGTAGTAGAACGATTCTATAGTATGTAAGATAAGTAGTACGATTCTCGATCTGCTGAGCCGCTGCCGCGACGAAGTTCCGCGCGCAACTGCTTGCTATGCGCGTTCAGTCCAGGCTGACTGACAAAAATCTTGAAATCATCAAACCGTAATTTAGGATTAGGACAATTTTTTAGGGGCCACGTTTGGCGCAGGGTCTTCATTTTTTAGGGGCCATGGCTGATTTTTTAGGAGCATTTGGCGACATGGCGCTCGTGGGGTTGGAACACTGATTACAAGTCCTGTCCTCTCAAAGTTATCCTTCCATTTTTTTTTCTGTTAACCAAGCTTTCCATGATGAGCAGTTATTTCTATCCAGTTGTCTCTTTCCAGTTAATTCTTAAAATATACATTGGAGCAGAAAGCATTTCACGGAAGTCAAACAAACAATAAAATTAACTAAGTATTAACTAGCTGGAAGTCAACCAATTTCTCCGGATCAGCACGCTACTGTCCTTCTAAATATGAAGTGCTCAATATCAAATGTTAACTTGTTCATGGAACACACTCCACACACTTTAATGACGCTTTCATATTTGGAAAAACCATAGTTAAAGATTGTCCTGAGTATTTCGGTATTTTTAATCCTATTCAATCCATTTCTGCAATTGCAAACAATCTTCAGTGATGTAAAAGGTAGATTGGGGGACAGTTTCTGGCAATTCAGCTAAACTTAAAATTAAAACAGAGAATTCTTTAGTTGTCCTACACACTACATAATTTTTCAAGTTAAAATAGATCAATCATAGAGCATTACTTACCCAAACTTTGATGGATGGACCGAAAGCAGCACAGAGCCAGTAACGGTTCGGTGAGAAGCAGAGGGCAGAGATGATTTCACTGTGGTCAGATGTGTGCAAGTGTTTGCCGTCATTCAGATCCCACAACATAGCTTTTGTGTCCTACAACAAAATTAAACATCGTGTTAGTTAATGACAATGGATGCGGAACTGATTTCATTACTGGAGAACATTCAATAAGGTGGACCATTACTGCGAAAAAAAAAGAAAACCTTTCTTACTCAGTAAGGTAAAATCCTTGCTGCTGAGAGAAAAACATAAAGAAAGGAACACTAAAAAGTTGGGAGATGATGCAAAAATTTAAATAAGTGCGCATAGCAGACTAGTTTGACGCAATTGGTAACCAAGCTTTGTTAGGCAAATGAGCTGCTGTTTTCGCCTGGGGGCTCAAAATTTTTTTTGCCAAGTATCATTCAGACCTGTGACAGTAGGGTATTTCATCGAGAAGAAGGAAAAAGTGTTCCACTAATTTAACACACATTTCTATTTTCTACATTTTTGTTACCCTGTTACATAATCATACTAAAATCAAATGAGAGAGTTGGTCATGACCGGCAAGTTTCAGTCGATTCATCCTAATTCTAGAAAATTTTTCATTGAAGACACGGAGACTGGTCAAAATAAGTGAAAAACGGCATACACCGTAACCTGAAAATTCGTTCAGTACCTGTTTTTATGGGTGTAGGGTTTGCGGAATTTAAGTGACTAGTTGTAGCCCTAAAATTCAAATTTCCCTCTAAGCGACCTAATGTAAAGTAATTTCTTCACTATTTGCAGTCTTAAAGTGCTCATAACTGAATGACTACTTGATGAATCTTAAGGAAACTTACTTTTTTAGCCCTAATTTAGCTGCGTCCAGGGACACTTAGATTGATGATAATGGTGACGCTGTTTGAGCTGCATACATGTCTAATCCAATTTAATTCTAGGATTGAAATGAGTGACTGTCACCTTCTTTTAAACCATTTTTTTTTTAGTAGGAGGTTATTTGACTCGACCAGAGTTAGCTACTGCCTCTAATGATGTCATTTACATACTAAAAATCACAACTTACTTTTCCTCCAGATGCACACAATGAACCGTCAGGAGAAACGGTGACTGTGTTCAAGTATCCATGATGTCCGTGGTGGTTAATCTTCAGCTTGCAGTTTGTCAAGTTCCAAACCTTAACCATTTTGTCCCAACCAGCAGACACAATGATGGGATTAGCTTGATTTGGAGAGAAACGAACACAAGAGACCCAGTCACTGTGACCTTCATCCTGCGACAGATAACCAGAGAATGGTATGAAATAAATGGGGGCGTAATGATACACTATGAGCCCGAGTATGAATATATATTAGATCAAGTACGGGGTAAAGAAAGTTTAACATGAGTTCTGAAAGAAAAAGAGTTGAGAGCTGCTTTTGTAAGCAAATGAATTTCCAGAAATATTTCACAGGCAATTAGATATTCTCTCTCTCCAACAGAGCATTTCATCCAGGCTTCTATAACTTCTTCATTTACCAATCCCTTGATTCCAAAATTTCTATAGTTCTTGGCTTTCCCTGATCAATAATTATAGTACATCCACTTGGGTATTTTTCTTTTAATTAGTTAAAACTGTGGACGGCATATCTCCTTGTAGGGCCCAAATACAGTAAATAAGCACTCCGAAATTGGTCCTCCTCTTTAAAATGGAACTGGCCGAAGTTGCTGAGCCAACTTTCTGCCCGATATATTTTCTGACTTTTCAGACCGCAAAAGCACTTGATTTCTTGGATTCGGATTTCTTTCATCCTAAGTTGAAACAAAAGTAAACCTCTAATTAAACCTGAATCAGCACCACTCAGCAAGTTAGTTTGTACATTCAAATGGAACAAAAAATAAGTTCAGTTATTAACAAGATTTAACCCTTAACTCAACTCTAACCTCCACTTGGATTCAAAAATTAAATCATGGCGAGGAAAACAATTTTGTAGGAAATACTTTACTACTAATCTAGGTTCTATGGCCAACATAGACCAGGGGACGAATGCATTCTGTAGAAGGGAAGAAGGAAAGATGAAGCAAACAAGTAGCAAAAGCTACCTGCTGAGGGGGCGCCGCCCCCCCAGACCCCCCCTTTCAAATTATATATGTGAGACTTTGAGTATCATAGAAGTCGTGCGGCGACATGCCGAATGAAATGCCACAATTAAAATTATTGGATCAGATGATGAGCTGATAAAAGCCTTACCTAGTAATTTGGGAACATTTCTGACACAGTTTGGTTGCTTTAACTATCACTTTGATTTGCGAAATACAAATCGTTTTCACTTCGTATGTAGTTAAATTTGATTTTGACTGACTTAGTTTCTGATGGATTCAAACTCATAATATACATTTAGGTTCCAGGGAAAGAAAAATGCAGATGAGCTACACTTCACATGAATATAGATTGATTAAAAATAAATAATCCGAAGAAGTGATGGAATAAATGA